GACAAAGTGTAGGAAGACTAGAATTGGTTCTTATATGTTGTGGTCTGAATGGAAGCTTCAGACAAAGTTAAACAGAGAGACCTTCCCATTGTGACAGAGGGTTCAGAAAAGACTCCCTTGCTTTCTGAACTCCTTCTCAGAGAGAAGTCTGGGTGTGCTGGATCCAATCCTAGTCACAGATTTAATTAATGATTATGTCTAAAGGACTACATAGGTGTGATCAAAACTTATATGACTTTGTGCTGCAAGATTGAGGATGACAAACCAAACACATCTATATGAAGAAAGTAAATCAGTTACTTTAATTGATGATAGTGATTAGACTAAAAGACTTCAGTCAGGACTGTAACTACTAGCTGAGTGTGCTATTTGTTAAATCAATAATTTTGAAGCTAGCTAAATAATTATTGAATGGAGACTCATGCTACTTATCCAAACCAAAGACTGTGGGCAAAGTAACCCTGAGGGACATCAGCACTCAAGGGAGTGTGACATCAGCACTCAATCTCCACATGTACTCCTAGAAGGACTGTGCTGCAAGTTCCTCCTGGAAGAAGAGGGACTGGGCTTTCATAGTACAAAGTCATTGACTGTAAATTACATGTTTCTAGGCCAGTTATGTCAGCTCAGCAGCATTTAGCTCAGCACCTTTAAATCGATTACAGTGTAATCACTTGCTGGTTTCTTTATCAGGATCTTTGTCTGCAGCCTCCTCAGCAATGTCAGTTATTGTCAGAACACTGGTTTTTACATCCTCAGAATGTTTAGTTTTGGGATAAAAGACTCAGGCTGGCTTCAGCATTCTTCAAAACCAAAAGCAACATGAATCCCTTCTTTATCTACCACTGATAACTTTTACAAATAGAGGAAGGTTTGAGCTATTTACCCCCACTTAGGCAGAGCATCCTGCTACAGTCAATGACAGCTCAAAAGAACTAATACATCCTAGTACCATTAAATCCTTTCAGAAAAATGCACCACAGCCACTACTGAGAAGCTGTTACTATCCTTCCATTATTAACTAGCTGGGATATTAACTAGCTGTTAATATCCTTCCATGATGGAGTATGTCCCACACCATATATTCAGATCTATGTATTCTCGCTGTCTGAACAGTCATGCATGATTTGATGGGTGGACTGTTCAGTAGATGAGGAATTGGTAGGATGCTTGCATCCACAGAATAGTGTTCAGAAGCTCAGTGTCCAGATGGAGGTTGGTGACAAATGGTGTCCCTCAAGGGACAAGTCCTGTTTAACGTCTTCATCAAAGTTACAGACAGTGAGATCAAGTGCACCCTCAGCATATCTGCAAACACCAAGCTGAGTGATGCAACTGACACAACTAAGGGATAAGATACCATTCTTAAGGACCTGGACAAGCTCAGCAAACATGTGAATTTCATGAGGTTTAAAAAGACCAAGTTCCAGGTGCTGCACCTCAATCAGGGCAACCTGCAGTATCAATCCAGGCTGGGGATGAACAGATGCAGAGCAGCCCTGTGAGAAGGACTTGGGGGTGCTGGTGGGTGAGAGGCTGCACATGACCCAGCCATGGGCACTCCCAGCCCAGAGAGCCAAACGTGTCCTGGGCTGCATCCAGAGCAGCGTGGGCAGCAGGGCCAGGGAGGGGATTCTGCCCCTCTGCTCTGCTCTGGTGAGAGCCCACCTGGAACCCTGCATCCAGCTCTGGGGTCCCAGCACAGGGAAGACATGGAACTGTTGGAGTGACTCCAGAGGAGGGATACAGAAATGGTCAAAGGGATGAAGTACCTCTGCATAAAGGAAGGCTGCAAGATTTGGGATGGTTCAGCCTGAGGAAGAGAAGGCACTAGGGAGGCCCCAAAGTGGGCTTTCAGTACTTAAGCAAAGGTTGTAATAAAGACAGGGACAGACCTTTTAGCAGTAGCTGTAACAGCTGTACAAGGGGCAATGATTATATACTGAGTGGGGATTTAGAGATCGTAGGAAGCAAATTTTTACAATTAGGGTGGTGAAACACTGGCACAGGTTGCCCAGAGAGGGGACAGGTCCCTGATCCCTGAAAACACTCAAGGTCAGACAGATGAGGCTCTGAGCAAACTGAGCTGAAGCAACCTCTAGTTGAAGATGTCTCTGCTCATTGAAGGGGCATTGGACTACACAACTTTTGAAGGTCCCTTCCTAGCTACGCAATTCTATTACTCTATGTCTATTTTAATTTCAGGAAAATTTAGCCAATGATTGCTTATCTAATGATATGCAAAGCTGGTTACAGATTTTACAATCCAACACAGATGGTACAGCATTATTAACTTGTACCCACATCTTTACCAATCTTTGTCCCCTACTTCATTGTTTCTCACTCTCTTTCTCTTTCTTTCTCAGAAGTTTCTTTCTTTAAATTGCAAATGAATAATCTCTCAGAATCTCAGAACCCTTTTATCATAGGAATTACTGGGGACACAGTTCCTTGGATGAAATTAAGAGATGTGAAAACAACAAGGGAGAAACTAAAAATAAGATTCTTCTGTTCTGCCAATAAGAATTTTAAGCAAAGTTATGTGCGTCTGTACCTTCATATACCCATATTTTACTTTCTGTCACAGGCACAGACTTCATGAATGATGTGATCTGTAAGTGTGACTTGGGAACTTGGATACTACCCTGTGCATTTGCTACTGTTGAACTAAGAAATCCCAAATGTCCATTCTTTGAACAAAATCTTCCCTTCCCCAAGCTGACTTAATTTCTTGCCAAGCCTTGCTTCAGAAAAAGGTACCAATATGATTTGTTATGGCAGATCAGCTATCCAACTGCTTTCATTATTAGACAAATTTGTCAAAAGGTAACAATCTTACTGATGTTTCCCATTTTGCTGTGAGCATGACAGTATGAATGGATCTTAGAGGTCTGTGCTTTAAAGATTTACCAAAATGACAGACTAGAATTTGATGACACTGTATCATATTTTCATCAATATATTTCCAGATTATTTTACTTTTTTTTTTTCCTCTCCTAATTAATGCCTTAGACAGTTTCATCTGAAAATTTCTGGTGTTATAAATGATCAGCAAGAAAGCCAAATTAATAATAATAGCGAAAGATTTTATTTTCGCGACCGAAAATTCGGTCCTCAGAAGCCAAAGCCAAAGAGACAGCATGGAGCCCAGGATCGGCGCTTGGTGAACCTGGATCTGACCTCTAGCACATCAGACCTCCTTCTGTTCACAAATGCCATTTCCAGCAGGGCTGGTTTATACAGTTTTTTCTGCCTGAGGCAGAGGTGCCCCCACTCCTTTTGTCACCCTGCATATGCATGAAGTTTCTTTTCACTGTACAGGGCTGGACAATCGCTGTGTGGTGGCTGAGTGGTGGTGGGGCGCTGATCAGGTCAAGAGAAGTCTGTACTCAGACATATGTTCTTGACAACTTCAGCTATCTTGATTGATGATACTTACCAAGTGCTGATCATTCTTGGATGTTCCTGGATGGTTCCAGAGGAAGCCCATCTCCGCAGCAGATATGTCTTCTTACTTGCTAAGGAGGCATTCTTTCCTGCTGCCACCAGGAGTTTTGCAACTTCTATGTAGTAATCTGCCTCTGGGCTGTCCATGGTCTGAGGCTCTTTGGATTTTTGTTATATGTATAATTTATTTTACAATTTTTATTTTATACATTTTCCACACAAGCATGAATTACTTTACATCACATATTACACTGGTATGGCTCACCAAATTTCTTCCTTGTGTTCCACTCCATCTAGATCATGCATGCTTCATGAATTAGAAAACACTCCCCATTAGGATTAAGAAACATACTAATTTTCTCCTAGATGTCCTGGCATCTAATACTAACAGTTGAAAAGATGGCATCTTCTTATGGTCTGTCAATTGCTGAACAAGTCTTGATTACTTGCAGGTTTTCCATTACTGCTCCCTCAAGTACTGTCCCTCAGCCTGCCAGGGGCAGGGATGACAGCCCTTCAAGAGGGGGAAAGAATTTTTAACTAGTGCTTTTGTTCAGCACAGATTTTTGAAGGCTTCCCCACCTTTTTTCATGTCCTTATTGCATAGATCAACACGTTTTCAGGGAAACCTTTAAGTTGTGAAGGAACTACACCTTCTTTCTCCCAGTAACGTCGCCTCTCTTGAAATGAGAAGACAATTTCATACAAAAATGCAGTTGTTCGCTTGTATTATTTACAAATACTTTCCCTGCTCAGGTTAAGTGCTAGCCTGCCTTCTGGCAGCTGCACCACACTCTTGACCTTCTTCAGCACCAACCCTGGCAGAATTCAATAAGCGTTTGCACAATGTACTTAGGCACATTGTGTGACTCGTGTCCCGTGCAGGGCTGAGAGCTGGACTCGATGATCCTTGTGGGTCCCTCCCAGCACAGGACATTCAGACACGGCCCGGTGGCTCTCTGTGCCTACTGAGAGCAGGAGGGTGACCTGGGGCACGCCGTGCGCCATCCGCGCCCCGCAGGCCGCGCTGCCGCCCATGGCGGCCCGGGTGGGGCTGCCCGCCGCAGTCGGGGCGGCGCAGTGCGCCTGCGCGCCGCCAGGGGGGGCCAGCGCGGGGGAGGAGGGCGGGCCCCGGCCCTGTGTTTTGAACGGCGCGATGCGGGCGGCTCACTATTTGGCAGGAAGGTGAGGAGGCCTCTATCCTGGCGGCGGAGATCGCGTAGGGAGAGGGGGATCCAAATGTGGCAGAGGCGAGCTGGAGGCAGCGGCCGCGGAGGGGGACAAGCGAGACGAGGGGAGCGGCCGTGCCCGCCGCCGCTGCTGCCGCCGCCGCAGAGAAGCTGAGCGGCCCGGCTGGGAGGGGCTGAGCGGCAGCCCTGGCACCCCCGGGCGCCCGCCCCGCCAGCAGGTGAGCGACCGGGGCTAGGGAGGGGACGGGGGGAGCGCAGCCTGTCGCGCCGCCCTTGGCCTGGCCCGGCCCAGTACCGGGCAGAGCCGGAGGGAGTCGCTGTGGGGGAACCGGCGCTCCCAGGCCGACCGCGCCTCGCCTCCCTCGGGCCTCTCACTTCGTGGATCCCCCGCCCTCTCCGCCCGGAAGCCGCGGGCGGCATCGGGGCCGCGGAGGCTCCGGTCTGGAGGTGTCGTCTCTGTTCTCCCTTTCCCCGCAAGCTCCCTGGCTGCTTGGCAACCCCCCCGCCCTTCCGGGCTCCGGGGCTCTGCCGCCCTCCCCCGGCACGGCCCCGCGCCGCATCCGCCCGTAGGGGAGCGGTGCCCTCCCCCTTTCCCCGCTGCGGAGCTATTGTGTGCGGGCTGGGGCCCGCCGAGGGGCTGCTGGCGGATAAGCCTTTCCCCGGGGAGGTGGAGGCGGGAAAGCGGGACGAGGGGGGCGTGAGGGCGGCGGGGGAGCCGGGGCCGCGGGAGACAGCGCCGGCGCGGTGTGTGCGCGCCCCGCTCGCTCTGCGCTGCTGCGATCCTTTGTCTGCTGTGCCGCTTTCCCCTCCTCCCTCGCTCCTTTCCTCCCTCCTCCCTTCCCTCTCCCTCCCTGCGTTCCCCTCTCTCTCCCAGGCTCCAAGCGCTGCTGCAGCTGCAGGTTTGTAAATACTGGACCAACACACACACACACAACATGGCTGACGCTCGCCCTGCTCCTCCACCAGGGTCTCCGCCTTCTCCCTCAGTCTCCGCTGCTTAGCTGCTCCTCCGTGTAGGCTTTTGTTTCTTCCCCCTTCCCCCTTCATCGCCCGTCAAAAAAAAAAAAAAAAAAAAAAAGAGAGGAAAACCAATTCACCCTCCTTATTTGCGCGCATGGCGGGATTTCAAGGGTAAGGATCCTCGCTTTGGAAGCTTTCTCCTTTCGTTTTGCTGTTTACAACAAAATGAAACCTAAAATCAGAGGTGATTTGGGAACCTGGCAAGGCCTGGGGCGAGGGAGGAAGGGAGGGAAGGAGGGGGGGAACTGGGTGAGCCCCGCTGAGAGAGGCTTGATTGGAATGTGCGTATCTTTTTCTCGTGTTGGGTGGGGGGTGGCGGATGCACCAAAGTGCTGGCAGAGATGAGAATACTGTGTTACACTTGGCAGAATGAACTAGGGCCTTTTCTTTCGTTTCAGGACAATTCGGTATAAGGGGTCAGCTCTGGACAATCACATTAAAAAGATCTGAACTAGTTATGTCAGAATAGGCATTGTGTAGTTAAAACCCGTAAAATCGGCGTTTTGGCTGTTTCGCATTTTCTGTATCTCCTTGTTAGTACCTTAAACAGCTTGCGAAACATGGAGTACGTAAACGGGAATTTACACTTGTCAGGTCTTCGTGTTGCTAGCTTTCTGTCACAAATTAATTTGCTCTTTGATGACAATAGTACAAACCGAAGCATTTCCTTTTTCCTAAAAGGAGTGATTTCAGATTTTTTTATTTTGGGTTTTTATGTTGTTGTTATTGCTTGTTTATTTGTTTGGTTTTTTGTAAAAAAGGCATGGTAACGTGAAGTTAAGTGAGCTCCCAAATGAAAACAAGACAGCATGCTTTTGACCTCTTTAGTAGTGCAAGGCAAATGCTTAGTTCAGTACCCTCCACCTCAGTTATTCAGAGCACCCCCTTCTGGCTTTGATAAACATGGCTTTTATTTTTGCTGCTTGTGACGTAAAACCAAAACACTTGAAGGTAGTTCGAGCGTATCTAAAGTGATCTGCCATGAAACAGTTTTATTTCTAGTTTGTAAATTAAGGGTGAATGCTGAAAGTGTTATGGCATGATGCTTTATATTTGCCTTCTAGACTTGTTACTGTAGTTCCAAGTGTTTAATTTTTCAAGGATCATACTTAAAGATACATTCTTTATTTATACACATGGATAGCCATAGGTTTCTGAGCACTGCTCTTAAGTAACAAATGTCCTAGCTATGTCGTCTTTTGTCTGCTTTGCTTTAGAAGCTTCTAGTGGAGAAGCATTGGAATGGCACAATCTTGCAGCTTTTACTGAGATAGAAATTGCGAATTAAATACTGCATATGAATACTTCTTTCTGCTGCTTTTTCCATCCCCATTAATAAGCAGTGATTAGCAAACATTGATTATGGAGAAAATAATATATAGAAGGAGCTTACAATAAGATAAAACTTAAGTCATCCAAATTACAGTATCATTTTGGAATGTGTATCTACGTCATGGCTTCTGAGGCAACTGTTTTAATTCTAGATGGAAAAGTTAGAGCAAAAGTCTATAGCCTGATACATCAGTAGATTCCTGCAACAGGCAGTTACTTTTTTTTTTTTACATTTTTCAGTCTGAAGGCAATATTGCCTAAACTAGAATAGTTTTACCAGTTGTAGTTAATTTGTCATTTATTGTGATAACTACTGCATTTTGAAATTATGCTCACCTACTAAAAATGTGAAATGCATTGAAGTGTGCAGCTCCTCCCTCCAAATACGTCTTCAGATGCTTAAGCCAATTCTTAGGCTGAAGAGCAAAATAGAATAAAAATAAGCCATTCACAACACAGTTTAACTTTGCTACATTGCAGTTTTGTTGCTAGAGCTAAATTTTATTCTGTAACATTTGTCTCTATTTCATCATCTTTGTGAAGTTTCTTGCCTCTGTAGCATCTTTACTTCACCTTGCATTATTTTCTGTGACACTCAAAAGGTTTTTCTTCCTGTCTTGGTTGTGTTGATTTAGTCAAAAATCAGTATTGTGGGTCATGAGAGCCCAAAAGGAGCAGATGTAGTTGAAGTACCTGCCAAATCTCTGCATCTTCACTTAGTGAAGACCCTCCAGTGTTTTTGCCTTTGTGAGTTATGCTAGGCTGTATTCAACCAAATTAAAAACCTGAGACTAGTAAAGCCTTCTTTTCAGAAACTGTTTGGCAAATGAGACTGAGGAAAAGGAAGACTGCAGTAAATGCAGTCTCTGTGATCAGCTTGCTGGAAGAAGTTAGAAATTGACTGTTTTTTCAAAGTAGACATGCTTTTCAGTAGATCTTTAATCAAGTAAATCATGACTTGCTGTAGTTCTAAATATTTATGAAATTACCAAGTAACATACAGTCCTAAAGGTAATAAACATTTAGTACATTCTTATTCAGTACTTAATATTTTCTCAGTCCAAATATTCTTTCACCCTCTTCTTACCCAGTATCTTTCCTTGCTATCTGTTGCCAGACTGCACTCTTTGACATATTCAGATCTGTAAACCAATAGCTGATGCAAGAGCTGTGTGTTAATGTAATGCATGATTTGCTTAATGTTTGACAAATTAAATATTTTTAGAAGGATTCTATTTACTGAAGCTAAACACCATTTTTTAACCTTTTTTCCCGTTTCCAAAGAATGAAGCCTTTGAAGCCTTTTGCTGCATACTTCTCATCATTCCATTTTGTTTTTCTTGTATCCTTTTTTTTTTTTTTGACTTGGTAAGAGAAAGTTCAAACTTTGATTTCTTGATGGTGTGGCATGGCAGTATGTTTTCATAGGTGACTAAAACCAATTCAACAAACTGGTTTAGAAAACCATCTTCGAAAGCTGTGCATTGAAGCTGAACCAAAAGAGAATGCTCTTACAGAAAGTTGTTTCCTGTTGTGTGGTTAGATAGCTTGTTTCTCATGACAGGTGTGAGAGAACTTTTTTGTTTGTTGTTTTTCTTGTGTTCCTTCTCCTACTGCTCTTTAGAAGTTAGTGATTTTATGATGGAAGGCTGAGTGCTGATCTTTCTTGACACTGGTTCTCATAATGAGTGTCTCCTGTATATCAAGATGTATCCCACTTGCTGTCCAGATGCTATCTAGCTGCCATTGTGCTACCTGCCTTAAAAGAATGGGGAATCTGACTTTGCTTTATGAATGTGTAGACTTGCTTCTGTCTGATGTGAATATATATTGAGATCCTTAAAACAGTGTGGTTAACTGGTTTGCATTTAGCTATGAACAGTTGATTCTAGAGACAAAAGGGCCTCCTCGCTGATCCATTTCAAACAATAGTGGAATAATTTGAGCTAACTGCTTTCACCATGTGGTGGCTGAAGTTAACTTGCTGTTATATAGTAACATGTGAATTTGCTAAAGACATACAGAATTCAGGAGGTGAATGCCTTTCAGTTTGTGGAGGATAGTTCTACAAATCCTGGTTATATTTTTTCTTATTTACTTTCTGTGACATATGTTGTGAAACTGCTGTAAATCTGTGTTAAATGAGGTCTTGAATGACTGACTTGGAAACTTCACTATTGCAATGACTCCACAAAATGAAGTATATAGAAATAGTAATGATTACCTGTGGTGTCTACTAGCTGTAACTGTTACCTTATTGTATTTTAATTTTTGCAGTTATTGCACCTTGGTTGAGAGGTTCTTGAAATATTTTGATGAATTCATACTCTTTTTGATAAGACTTAAAAATGTCTAAAACTTGATTAGCTCTTTGATTGGGTTCAGTTTGGAGTTTTTTTTAGTTGGTTGGTGGTTTTTTAGTGTGATTTTCTGATGTTATTGTGGAATATTCCGATACACTATTCAAGTTGTGCACCTACAGATACTGGTGAGAGTAGGTGCTTATTTCAAAAGCAGTTCTGTGGATTCCAGTGATATAGTAAATACTTGACTTTCACAGAAGGGGTGCTGAACTCAAGACCGTCTGTTCCATATTTTGGACAACATGGAGCTGTATCAATTAGTTACTACTTCGTAGTATACTAAGCTATTCTAGCTGGTCTGTGCCATCATGGTGAGGTCTGTAAAGTGTCACCAACACAGAGTTCAAAAAAACCCATAAACAACAACAGAACAGGCAAAACCCATCTGCCCAACTTCTTTTCCCATGAATTTCTTTTAATCCAGTTTAAATGTAAAAGAGAGCTTTGCTAGATTATGATTTCTTACCCTAGGTGGATAAGGACAGAAAGAGTCATTAGATGTCAAACTTTTGGTCTATTTGATTCATTAAAATCAAGTAATTATGTGTTTCAGAACTGTTTAGTGTTTGTGTTTCCTAAATGGAAGTTATTGCTAGTTACATAGAATCAAGGCAGCTCAAGTCCAGTATATTGTCTTGTGATTTAAGTTGAAATTTTTGAATAGAGAAATTTTCACCTTTCTAGATTTAATTATTTTTGTGAGCTGAGTAGCACAAGAAAAAACATGTTCTAGATTAGTTCTCTAGCGAAAATTCCATAAAGTTTTGTTGATTAACTTTTCTGTATACCTTGACAAACATGATGTTTGCTGAAGTCTGGAGCTCTGCTTCGGGTTCTTTAGTAAGCAAAGGTTAAGTACCTGCCATGGACTGGGAAGTATTATGTGTATTCTGCTGCATATCTATAACTTAGTTCTGGTTTTAATTGTGCACTTAAAAGTGTCTGCAGATTAGACTGTCTTTCTTTCATTTTCTAGGAATTATAAAAATTAGTAAAAATAATGCTTCAAATTTGTAGTTTGTGTAACTCATAAAATTATACTTGGAAAAGAGTTGACTGATTTTGGACAATTGCTTGCCCATCATGTTTAATAACCACGTATGGTCTAGACAATGAGCTAAACATCACAATGAAGCTAGAAAGGAGGTAAACAAGTTAGAGATCAATGTACTCCTTTCTTCTCAAAGCATTCCAGTCGCAGAGAGCTTTGTTGAATTGATGTAATTACTTTTTTCTTCAGAAGTTCTTTGTCTTGTTGGTGAAAGATGGCCTACAAACCCATTAATTGCTTAGGTGTCAGTGGAGCTAAAAATGAGATATTGTGGTGGTGCTGAGATTTTGTGAGATATGATGGGCCAAAATTTGTACTCTGACAAGTATGCCTTCAAAAGCAGCTTAACAATAGATTCTGACTTTCATGTGACTTCACAGACATCTGTTTTTGAGTGCTTTTAGGGTTAAGGGATATGCAGACATTCAATATACCTGGAAACCACAGATTGTTGCATATTCTTAGGGTTGTTTGATGATAGGCAGAGCAGCTGGGCTCTGGGTCATCTCTCCCTACTGCTGAAGGGAGGAGTGAATAAGCACAGAAATTTTCATTTCCTAGACTGCAGGAGTACATCTCAGGTGAATTACATCTCTGTCTTCTGCACTCCTTTTTGTCAGTAAAGCATACATACTGTTAGGTGCCGGACAGAAGACCTGAGGGAAAGTGGATTTTCCTATCTGTTCAAGTCAGGGGAAGTTTTGCTCCTGCCTTCAGTATGCCTTTCGCATACCTGTGTGTCTTGGTTTGAAAGACAGGTGTCTGCTAAGGAAGGCAGGAGTGTCCCTTGGAATGCAAAATATTATGCCCTTCCTTCTGAATTGTTATAATTTTGAAATTAAGGGGCTTTCAGGCAAAGATATGAGAAATGAAATAATAGCTCTTTACTAGTGTGTATAGCAAGGCAAGCCAACAACAGTGGCAGCGACAGCAAACAAGAGCAGAAATCCCATGGGAGTCTCCTCCCACTCTTCAAGCGCTCTCACCATCGGTGCAGTTCCGGTGGTGGCCGGCAGGGGGCGCTGCTGGCTCTCGGCAGGCCCGGCGGGTGCCGTGGTTCCCCCGCGCCTGCAGGGGGCGCTGTGCGCGGGTCCGCCCGCGCAGACAGTGGCGGGCGGAGTCCGTAGCAAGGGAGGGAAAAGGGGTTTCCTTTAGGAACCCCCAGGGGCAGGCATCCTGGTGCCCCCTCTGGATAGCAGAAGGAGCTGTAGCAGGGATATCGGAGCAGTAAACTGGGAAGGTAGGGATTAGCAAAGTACCGGAGTGGTGGATGAGATTTATCAGAAATTTAGCAGCTGCAGCTGGAACCACGGGGCATTCTGGATATTCGGGGGTGCAGTGCTACAATGTAGCAAAATCTCAGAACAGTAGCAGGAAAACCAAAATGGCGGGGGCGGGGAAGTGGCAGCCTGGCTCTGAGCAAGGCAGGGAAGAGGCTCCTTGGGAAGGGAAAGCAGTTGGCTTCCCGGGGTTTTCTCCTGAGGCACCTCACCAGATGGTGAAAAGTCCCTTTTTTAGTGAGGTTGGTTGGTTGATAATGAGGTCCTAGTTCAGTGTGTGCTCTCACCAGCAGAGAAGCAGGACTGGGCTGGGCCCCAGCGGCGGCAGTGAATTCCCTCCTCCAAGTAGCAGCTCCAACCGTCCTCCTCCAAAGCCAAGTGCAAGAGAGCTAGGAGCTGCCCCAGCCCCTTCTCTTTGCAGCACAATTCTCGTGGCATTTCTGTCTTTCCTAGAGAAACCCAGGGAGAGTAGCCAGCTGGACCCCTCCCTTGAGCTGTGGCCACTTCTCTTGTCCCTCGTAAGTACCCAGTCGTTACTGTCTCCTAGCAACACATACGGGAGAAAATTCCCCGAGAGAAAGAAACAAAAGGAAGAATCTTAAAGCCCAGCACTGTGTTTACAGTGTTTATACCTATGGCTTGTATGGAAAGAGATCAGACAGGTTAATGTTACTTCCTGGCAGTAGGGATATGTGGCTGTATTAACAGTGGATGAAAAGTACTTTTTCCGGTGCTGTAACCTTGGCTAACCAGAAATGAAATGGACATTGCATTACAGACATTCTAGGCTAGAAGCTTGAAGAACTGAATTTGCATGGATTTGTTTGAGGCAGGCTTTTTCTTTTGCTCTTAGGTATAATTTAATTGAAGAAGGAAGAGTGATGGTGTGAATAAGCATCCTAGGTTTTGATTGTACTTAAGCCTCTAATCACATTTCTTGGAGAGTTTGTGTTTGGGTGACGGTGGTGCAATATGCGCTGGCATGAGCTAAAAGGGCAGAGGTGTGGTTGTTGTAGTGTGTGCTTTGATTATCTCCACGACAGACTCCTAGAAAGCCTCACCTGGTTTTATGGGGAAGAATATTCTGCTTCCTGAGATCCTTTTTGCTGGATGATGCCTCACTTTTTCTCTTCAGTTGCTATATTTTCCATTCTCTGCTGCCCAGTTGAGTAGACTCAACTTTGCTTCAAGGACCACAGGACAATTTAGTCCTCCCTACAAATAAGCATGTGCATTTTCAAAAGGGAAGAGGGATGTGTGTGTTTTTTGGGAGGATTGTTGTTATTACCAATACCTAGGTTAATGCAGAATCTCAGGAAATACACTTAAGTGTTTATTGGAGAATCTAGTTCAGATCAGATATAAAACTTTTCAAAGAGAAAATTAGATTATAAAGCAAAAAAAGAGACTTCGTTTATCTGTTGCTCTTGCTAGAACTTCTACCTCCAAGTTCTATCATAATTTACTTTCTCATTTAATTTCTGTTTGTGCACAGTAGAATAGTTTCAGAGCAGCAGTTGTTTCAATTACAACTTAACCACCAAAGTTGAAGAAAGGAAGGCAGGTTTACTGTGGGTCAGACACAGTACGGTAAACAAGTAATTCCAAGGTGATTGTCATTCTGGAAGCTTTGACTTCCTTCTTGCCATGATTTTGTTACCTTCTGTAGCTAGAGAATGAGGACAGCATAGTGTTTTAAGTCAGCTATACTCAAATGCATGCAGATGTTGTCTTAAAGTTCATTTTTTCACAGTCCAGTAAATAACTTCCCAGAGTAGCTTGAAATAGTTTGTCATCTGCTTAAATACTTCAAATCTGCTAATTCGTTTCCTGAGTATGTAGATAACATCATCAAAAGTAATATTTTGTAATACCATAAAATCCAAAGTAATATTTTGTGCATTTTTCTTCTGTGCCTTTTAAGAAATACTAGTGGTATGAGGGTTGGTGTGTTCTGATGTCTCTGCAACTTTTAGGGAGAGTCACTGGTTTCACATTTGAACTTATCTCTCTGCTGCCTTGCTCCTTAACAACACTCACACTGACACACACATACACAGTTATGCAGGATGTGTTGTGTTTTTTCACCAAAAATGGGAAAGAACAGTACTCAAGCAAAGAACACACCATGGTACATCACAGTGCTGATGGTTCTCATCTTAGAGCAGAATGTATGATTGGTGATTTAATAAGGTACCATTGTCTTTGATGATGAATCCAGTTCTGACTGAAATATTTAAATTAATATTGCAAATATCTGACATAAATTTTCTACAGCTAATTTATCTTCTTTCAAAGTAAATTTTTGTTTTTTCACTGACCCTCCAGACTTACAGAAACCAGTGTAGTTAGCTGCAATTGGAGCTTATATTATAGAATGCTGAATTTTGTTTTCAGTGAGTTGCTCTTATGCAGATTGCAACTTTGACATCTGTGGCAGCTATTCACCATTTAAATGTGATAATCTCTTTAGGCCAGGATTTTTAAACAGTGAGTGAATATTCTGCCATAGATCTGGAAAAACTAATATCTCATTTTTCATTAGTAGCCATGGCAAGAGATTGCCATGTGTAACAGCAAGTATTTTCACTTAAGTGGCTTATGATTCCACTGTAGACTGTTACATGGATGCATTTGAGAACTGATTTAATATAAGCTAAAATGGCTGAATGTGAAAAAAATAGGTAAGACAAATTTGGTTTAAGACTGGCTGCTCAGTTTTTTCAAACTGTAGATTAAAGCCAAGAGATAATTTTCTCTGAATCCTTATTTCAGTTTTTTATTTTTAGGGTTTTTTTCCCTGGTCATTGCAAAGATAGGATGAAAAACGCTATTGATTTCAATTGTCTAACTATATAAGGTTTTTTTAAAACGAGGTATGTAATAAGAAATTTTCCTATGCTTCGAATATGCATTTAGTATTCAGTGTGATCATGCTTCAGTTTGCAAAAATGGTATTGTTTGCTCCTTCATTGCAGTAATTTGTAAAAAATGTGTCTTTCTTCTGTCTAGAAAAGGCCAAAGTTTATCAATACTTTCACTCTTAATTCCTCTTCCTGCTGTCAGCTGATTTAAGAAACAGAGCTACATTTTTATTAGAATAGGTGCAATCAGTGTTTGTGTCCAGTGGAAGTCCAAGTTAGTATCTGATTTATAAAAAACTGTCTGTTATTTTGTAGCTACTGTGATGTTGGTTATGGGAGAAGTTTGGATACATGTGTCTGTAATCTTTGAATAAATAATCTTGTGGCTAATCTTGTCATAGTTTTGGTTGTATAGAAAGCTCTAATGTAGGTAACTGTTTTCTAACCTTATCCCTTTTCAGTATTTTGCAGTCCTGCTTTTTTTTTTCAAGTGCTGAATTACTACTACTTACATGCCAATATTCTCACTGGTTACTTAGGTTGGGGTTCTTAACAATTAAATTTTGATATTCTAGTCAATGCTGTGAATAATATCCTTATAAGAATCTTGAATGTTTATGCACTTTGTTTGCATTAGAAGTTGGTAGGTGGTTGTGTTGCACAAGAATTTTTTTTACAAGTGTTTGTGTCACAAATTCTTACATTTGTTTTAGGATTTTTCTTTTATTATGCCTGGGTTTAATTTAGTATTGCAGTGGCATCTTCTCAGGATACTCAAACACATCAAAGAATAATTTGGTACTTATGATGCACAGCCTAAAAGTGCTCCATCCAACGGAGATCATCCCCCTGCCCCTAAAAGCTGTGCTGTTTGTATTCCCTCCGTGTTTGCAGGTGTGTGTAGCCACGCTGCTAGCCTGCATTGTGGGGAAGTGGTTGTGATGTACTTAAAATGATGCTTAGAAAGATCAGGCAGCCTTTCCAAGAGTTGTAAACGCGGGAGTTTGATTTGCCATGATTACTGAACCTAACAGACTTATAAGTGCAGTAACTTACCACTCCATTACTTTCTAACAGAAGTGTTGGTATGTTTGCCCTAGGCTTGCTCTTCCAGAATGTTGGAGTGATCCTTTTGGCTTTGGAGCAATCTTTCTCTGACTAGCACAATAGGAATTAAACCTAGTCTTCTGACAGAGGTGAACTGAGGTATACTCCTTGAAGAGACGCAAGCAGAGAACAGTGAAGTGCCTTACTTTCTTAAATAGATGTTTTTCTCCATGGTTTCCAGAGACTTCTTGTAAATGTTCCCAAACCAAATTCGGTACACTTGCTTAGAGCTATAATAAATTATTTGTGTCACTTCTTTCTGTAAGAGCATGACTAACAGAATAATTGCATTATAAAACTTAAAGTTCACTTGCATTCACCATAGAATGGTAACAAGCACAGTGATTGTGCAGTGCTGCTGTCATATCCTGGGCAGCTGTTATTTTTGTTCATGAGTTTTTGGGTTTTTTAATTGGAGGGAGGGGAGGATAGTTGTGTACCAGGAAAGAAAGTTCTAGAACCACAGAGTGGTTTGGTTTGGAATGGATCTTAAAGATCACCTAGTTCCAGCTCCTCTGCCATAGACCAGGTACACCTTCCACTAGACCAGGATGCACAAGGGCTTATTGAGGCAGACTTTACACTTCCAGGGAGGAGGCATCCACAGCTTTTCTGAGCAGCCTGCTCCAGTGCCCCATCGTCTGCACAGTAAAGAATTTCTTCCTGATACCTAATCTAAACCTATTCTCTCTTACTTTGAAGCCTGTCCCTCATGTCCTGTTGCTCCTTGCCTTGATAAAGTGTCTTTCTCCAGCCTTCCTGTAGGTCCTCTTCAGCAGCTGAAAGGCTGCCATAAAGTTACCCAAAGCCTTCTCTTTCCAGGCGGAGCAACCCCATCTCTCAACCTGCTCTTGTAGAGATGTGTTCCATCCCTGTGATCATCAACTGAAAAACGAACCCAGTTCGCATTTGCCATGATGTAAAAGTGTGCTGCTTTGGATGGTTACACAAGCCTGTGACAGTTCATTGTTGTGCCAGCGGTGCAGGTTCTTGCCCTGCGGTTAAATGCAAAGGTATTTGCAGTAGATTGAACAATTAGGAGTGGGTTAAAATTTACCTTTGGATAGAGTGATGTAAGGGAGGTTATCATGACTTTGAATAAGTACTAGATAGATCTCTTCTTCATATTTTTTTAAAGAGCCTTATTTTGTAAGATTGCTTTAAGCATGGAGGACCATGTAAGTATGAAATGATCAGGCCGTAGGTTAGAACATACACAAGGTTAAATCAGCAAGTATTTTTGCACTGCCTGTAAGAGGGTGGTTTAAAAAGAAATTGTACTTCAGTGTCTTGGTATATTGTGCAAAGTCATAGGAAGAATTGTAGCAGTATAGTAAAAAGAAATAATACCTTTGTATTACTAAGTATATTGTAAACATTGTCACTGTTTTTAAAAGTGTTTGGCTAAACTTTGATAGCTGATGATGATTCCGTAGTAGAAGGACAGAAAAGTACTGAAATTGAACCCTGTGTTCTGTTAGCATAGGCAAATAATTCATTAATAAAAGAGATTGTGCTTTTTCATGCTGCTTGAGAGAAGAGTAGACAAGAGCTATAAGAAAAGTCTTTTAAAATGTGCTATGTGTGTCTTTATTGTTCTTTTTCTAAAGTCTGCATAATGTTGCAGTAATGGGAATTTTTTTTTCAAAATTAGTTTTGCTCTACCATCTGTATGTATAAGAAAACTGATACATTTGTTCTTAGCTATTAGAAAGAAAACAGTCTAGAAATTTATTTAAAAACCACTGCATGATTTAGTGTAGAACTTGAAAGTTTATGTTAAAAAGCATATTTCATTTGTTGGGTTTTTTATTTGTTTGGTTTTTGGTTTTTTTTAAGGAAGCTCTTGTAAGCTTATTTGGCATGAATCAGTTCTTTTATCCCTTCATTAGCTTCATTCCTAGTCAGTAGAACAGCCAAAATGTGTATGTTTTAATACCAGATATATGAAATTTTCTTTTGAATTTTTGTGTTTAATTTTTGGAATTTATTTTTTGAACCAAGAGACAAGCAAGGAATGCTTCAAAGGGCAAGCATATGTCAAAATGTCAATGAGTCCTTAGCCAAATATTTAATCTGGTTGTAATATTGTCTATGTGGGAAGCAGATCAAATAAGAAACTATTACATTTTAATCAGTTTAATTTTAGTAAAATGCTCTGCTTTTGCACAGCTTCACTGTTAATACCTTGTAAAACACCAGACTAAGCCTACAAGGTTTTCTGAAATTATTTTCTGGAGAACTTTCCTTTGTTTTCTGGGTTATTTATTTATGAATGCTTAAAGTTGCAGTCCTACAGTTTTCCTTTACCCTGAAAGTTTTTGTGAATCTCACAAACATATTTAGTGTGAGCGTAAACTTAAAAACTGGAGTTAATTGAGCTTTTTTGTTTTTGTTTTTGCATTCTGGATCTGGTATGCATATGTTATTTTCTACTTTCTTTTGCCTCATTAATCTTATTTTTCTTTCATTTATCACTGTTTTTGTCAGTGGGTTGTTTTTGGGTTTTTTTTCACCTGTGCATGTTGATAACTAGCAGTTCCTTGTCAGGCAAAATCCTATGCCTATTTTTAATTGCAGTCAGCAGCTGATGTCTAGCTTAGTGACTATGTAATGTTATCACAGCTTCTTACTTGTAATCCACCCATATGACTTGAGGTTTGGCTTTTAAAAATCAGTGTTTTTTGGATGCAAACCTAATAACCACTGATGTATGATGCCTTTAGGAATGGCATTTAATAGAGGTTTTCTGCCACTTTTTCTGAAGAATTTTAGGACCATATAGAGCAACATATAAATAAAATTAAGGAAGTTCTGATCGCAGGTTCCCAAACTCTTTCCAATTGATGTAATGGCCCAGAAAATGGAAGAAGCCTTGATCTGTGAGCTGATTAAGCTGTGCCAGCTGAGATGATCATCTCTTGCAGGTGCAACTATCTGTTCTTTATGGGAAGACTGAGAACTTTTAAAACCTCTGGACAGAGGTGGATTAATTCCTACACAACAATAGTAGGCTGGATGTTTCATTAGTTTCACTAATGCCTTTTTGATGGAAAAAATAGAATGAAAAATAGATAAAGCATGATTAAAGTACACCTTTCTTCTGTTGAAAGTAATGTCATTCCCTTTGTCCTTCTTTGTGCATTTTTTAAATTCCAGAGGTAGAAAGACCAACTGGTCTTTGGTTCATTTATTTGGTAGGAGAGGGGGACAATAACATGATTATGTACATCTGCATTTTCAGTGCTGTTGAAAAAATCACTCAGTGTATCGTGTCCATACTGGCGTTACAGATGCTAAGCAAGTTCCTGAGTTCAGAGAACTATTATAAACTTTCTGCTTATGCTCTACATGAAACTAAGTATAAATGTGGTTTTTATGTTACTTTCACTCTACTGACTTCTATTCCTGATAGTTAAATTAGGGTGCAAGTCGAAAGGTTGTGCAGCTGTGGACAATTAAATAGTCGCAAGTTTTACTGAAGCATAGTACGTCTGATTATTTACAGAGTTTTCTACCAAAGGTTGATCTTCCCAGCAGAAGTATCTGCCATCAGTGGGTTGGTATGATGAAAATTTGTCTATAATTATTTGAAGGGGATTTCTCAGTTTGTGTGATGCTAATGTAAGCTCTATATAACTGGTGATCTTTTAGTGCATTTTAGGAAACAGATATAAAAAACTATAATTAATTGATCCCCATCTTGGATTGTTTTGCTTATTAGAAATAACAAGGCACTTTTTACTGCTGAATGCCTGAGGGTTGATAGGTGTCCACTCTATCACTGCTATTAAAATTTGTGAAGGCAAAATGGAGAAATCGTTGTTGTTGAAGGTCATTACGTTAATTTTTCTGTGTCGATGATGCAGGTGTTGAGGTATACTTGTAAAATGTGGTGAGTTTATAGATGCATGTGTATACCAGAATGTCTGTCTGGAAATTTGTTCTTACTTCATCATTTATTCAATGCATTTTTAAAAAAAAAAATATTTTTGCTCCATAAGCATCTGTAAGTGAAGACAAAACCTTATATCTCAGAAGTTTTTTTCTTAAATACAGTGAAGTATTGTGAGAGAGTTGTGTCATAAAAGATATTGTTTTCATCAGTCAGCTAAACTTCTTCAGATGAAAACATGTCTTAGTGTAACCTATACTTACGAGAGCTATAAATGTAAGTAATAAATTATAGGTGTGTGCTCAGAGGTAGTTTTTGTCATGAAGATAAGTTTCTTGAGCTGTAGAAGCTGTTTATAGGTAATGACTTGTTGCATGATCTCCTGAGTCCTGATAAACCATGTTTAGTGTGTCCTTGGGTTAGTTTTCATTAAAGTTCCATTAATAATTTGAAAGATAAAATGAAAGCATGCTTACAGAGAATAATTTTAGTCAGTGTATTTTAAAAATAAAAATAGAAAGTCTAGCTAAATGGTAAATAGAAAATACAAGACTTGAAAAATTTGCTTTAGCTATATTAAATTTAACCTACCATCAAATAAATAACAGAAGAGATGATAATATTGAGGACTTTGAAGGCCTAGTTCTCTAAGATTGTATTTTATTATACATTTTACAGGCAGGACGAAAATCCCTTTGAAGCTTTCACTGTACAGAGTAGTACAAGAGTAATTGGAAAAGCTATAGATTAATAAGGTAGATGTAATTTGAGAAAACTGTTGTTTTGGTTTTATTTAAGTTGGTAACATGTTTTTTAAAAGCTACTAAAAGAAAATGCTGATAAAACTAAATCACGAAATTCTAGAATATGCTGAGCTGGAAGGGATACATCAGGATCATCACATCCAGCTTCTAGCCCTCCACAAGACCATCCCCAAGAATCACACCCTGTGCTTGCCTGAGAGAGTTGTCCAAATGCTTCTTGAACTAGACAGATTTGGTGCTGTGACCCCTTCCCTGGGGAGTCTGTTCCAGTGCCCAGTCACCCTCTTTTTTTTAGGATGGATATCAGGAAAAACCTTTTCCTGATATCCATCCTAAGCCTCCCCTGGCTGAGCTTCTTGCTGTTTGCTCAAGGTCTGCCTGTGGTCATGAGAGTGAAAAGGTTGGTACCTTCTCCTCCACTTCCCCTCATGCCACAGTTGTAGACTGCAACGAAGTTTTCCCTCAGTCTCCTCCAGGCTGAAAAGACCAATCATAAGGCTTCCCCTCCAGACCCTTCACCATCCTTCTGGTTCTCTTTTGGATGCTCTCTAATAGCTTAATGTCTTTTTTTAATATTGTTGCTCCCAAAACTACACACAGCACTCAAGGTGAGGCTGAACCAGTGCAGTACAGAGCGGAGTGAGGCAGTCTCCTTCCTCTGTTGGCAGTGCTGTGCCTGATGCACCCCAGGCTGGCCCTCCTGGCTGCCAGGGCACTGCTGACTTACATTCAAGTTCTTTTGACTAGTGCCCCCAGGTCCCTTTCCACAGTGCTGATCTCCAGCCTCTTGTTCCTTAGTCTGTACACATGTCCAGGGTTGTCCCAGGTGGAGAAGTCAGTACTTGCCCTTGTTAACAGGTTTGGTGATCGCCCACCTCTCTAATTGTCAAGATGTCTCTCGCTCCTTGAGGAAATCAACATCTCCTAATTTAATGTCCCTGTAAAACTTATTTAGTATCCATTTGAGTCATGCATCCAAGTCTTTAATAAAGATGTTGAAGAAAACTGGACTGAGGGTTCGGTTTAGTTAATTTAGAGGGGTTTTTTTTTGGCATAGCAGGTTTTTTATGGTATAAGGCTATAGGGATCTTAAAAATCACAGAATTTGAAGGGACCCTAAAGGTCATCTTGTTCCCCCCCCCTGCCCCACCTTCCACTAGATCAGGATGCTCAAAGCATCATACAGCCTGGCCTTGAGCACTTCCAAAGATAGAGCATTCACAACTTTTCTGAGCAGCCTGTTCTTGTGCCTCACCATCTGCGCAGTAAATTTCTTCCTGATACCTAATCTAAACCTATTCTCTCTTTGAAGCCACTCTCTCATGTCCTGTTACTACTTACATTGATAAAAAGT